GGTGTGCCGTCCTAGCGAGCCGCCTTATACACCAGATGATTACCTGCCGAGTGTCATGACCTGTGTCAACTACTTGAAGCTTCCAGACTACAGCAGCCTGGATGTACTGCGCGAGCGGTTATCAGTTGCCATCAAAGAAGGCCAGGGAGCCTTCCACTTGTCATGATTGTTGCACATACGATCCGTTGATCTACTGCATCTTGCCATGAAGGATTTCGAATGACGCAAAACATAACACGAGCAAAGAACCCGATCGCGCACTGATGGTGCGTCGAAACGATAGCTAACTACATACCCTTATGGTTGTAAAAGGGAGGTATTCATGCAATGCCTAGGGCACCTGTCTTTTGTTTTAGGGGGGATTTGCTTCGGGCCACATCTGTCTGCTTTCTGTGCCTTTGTGGGAATGGCGTCTGGGAGTGTTGCTTTTGCTTCATGCTTCCATCTAGATAGAAATTCCACTCGTATCGAGGCCAGTGAGTCTATTAGTCTGCTGATGTATCTATCTGTTGATTACATAGGTCTATAGTCTATCGCACAAAAATGAAAGGGTATTGTTATCGCCTCCTGTCTCTCCTTTTTTTCACACCTCAATTCCGATACAGCGGCACCATGGACTACAACAACATCAATCAGTCAGCCATCATCCCATACAAACCACGTCAGGGAAAAGAATAGAAAGAACTCACCTCCGCAAACTTCGGCTCCACAAACAACGCCCTCGCCTCCGCCACTACTGTCTCCCCTTCTCCCTCAGCACTATCAGCAGGCATACTCCTCATTTCTCCCTCCACCCACGCCTTCCTCCCCTCAACCTTGACCGTCTCCGCCTTGAGCACATACACCCGTTCCGGCAACGCCGGCTTCCTGAAATCCACATTCAAATTCGCCGTCATGCCCAACCCGCTCTTAAACGAATCCGACACGCACCGCGCAAACGCCTCGTCGAACATCACGCTCAGCAAGCCTCCGTGAACGTACCCGGGGTGTCCGCACAGCTGAGGACCAATGTGGAACACGGAGATGAGGCGCGCGCGGGGGGCCTCCTTTACCTCCTTCCCCTCATCATTCTGCTTCTGGGTTCGGTTTGGGTTGACAATGGAAGTGAACATATACGGCGGCACCGTCACCTTGTTCGCGCCGGAGAGGGTCCCCGCGACGAAGTGATTGGGCCGATGGGAGGGTTTCATGTGTAGGTGGGGACGGGACTCTTTGTAGGAGGGGTTCGAGCGGAGGGATTGGACTAACGGGTGGGTGGTTATGAGGTGTTCGGCGGCTGCGGAGAGTTGAGATTGTGAGGGTGGTTGAGTTGGGGGCTGGTCGAGACGATCATGGTAGGAGGGGAGGGTGGAGGGGGATTCGATGGCTGAGGAGGCGGCGCCGGCTTTGATGGTGCGGATTTGGGTGTAAGGGTTGAGGTGGGTGGGTGGTCGTTTGGTAAGGAGACGGGTGAAGGTGCGTGGGAGGGACATTTTGATGTTGATTGATGTTGTTTTTTTCAATGCTATTGATGTGATAATCTTAGTGTGACTTTTGGTGGTTAGTGTTGATCATGCAGACTAGTGATAGTAGGTGTAGGTTTGTAGACGGGATGATGTCTGTGGTAGCTTGCTGGGAAGCCTTCTCAACTCACAAATATATAGTACCTGAGGGTATCAGCTATCGCTCGAATGATCACTGGGATTCTTCACTGGGATTCTTCTCTGCAATATGCAATTGCGAAGCCTATTTGCGTTCGGGCAGAACAGGGAAAAAAAGATGAAAAACCCTGGCCTATCCGGGAAAGTGGGTCCCAGCCCACGTGGAATGGCATCAACGTGGACTGGTGCAGCCAATAGGAGGTGGAGGCCTGGCGCTAGTTGGGATGGCTTGCAGGGATGAGGCGCCCAACTTGCAGGGATCGGGCGGGTGGGGCAGATCCGGTGTGTTGGGATTGGTTGAGTTGGCGCGCCGGTTCTTTTTATTTGAGGAACACCTGTTGCTGAGGGTGGAAATAGGTGCTGGTTCTAGGTGGTTTCCTTGTTGGGGAGGTTGGATTATGATGTTAGGGGTGAGGTATTTTTAGCTTTATTGCTGCTGCCATATTGAACTTTCTTATCTAGTGTGAAAAGGGGATAATAGTAGTCAGGAATATATCCTGTCTCCACTTCTCTGCTCGGTCGAACGGAGTTCATTAGGCCACTGGTGAACTACCACAATGAGGTCATACTCAACACTGCGTAAATTTTCATGACTACTAACTGCTAATAGCGATACAACGCCATCACATTTTTATCCATAACCTGGACTTCAGAAAATCGCAGACGCAACAGTAGAATTTGAACCGTGTCGAAACTAAGGTGCATGAACGATCTACTAATCCTTATTGAGTTGTTGTCGTCGATTGGTATATGAACAGCTCTGTACAAAGTAGTAAATACAAGCATTAGAAATCCAAGGGATCCACCTGGCCCAGGAAGGAATTGTTGCCTTCTCCACGCAGCAACGCCTCAATATCCACCCGTCCTGAGGTGAGGTACCGCTCACTGACGCCCACGTTCACTCGCTGAGACAGCAAATGCTTCAACTCCGCCCGCATAGCAGCTAACTCATTCTTCGTAACTTCACCTGCCTTTCGCTGCCGTTCCTGACGGCCACGTCCGCGACCGCGACCACGGCCCTGGGCGCTCTCAAACTCCTCGCTGTCATACTCCACCCCAAGGTCCTCTGCTGCCTTTTGGAGCCAGTTATCTTCCGCGGAGATCTTCTCCTTGGCGATGTTGGAGTCGGTGATCTTGGCGGCCAAGTCCACGCGTTGACGGACCCGGAGGACGACCCGACGGTCGAGCTCTAACGACTCAAGCGGCAATTTCTTGCCGTTGGCCATGTTGGCGTGCACTTTGGCGGCGAGACGAACCACTCCAACCATTTCCTCCGGAGCGCAGATGATCACACTCTTTCCTGATGCACCCGCACGGGCGGTACGTCCGGAGCGGTGGACGTAGGTATCGGCTGCGCGGGGAGCATGATAGTGGATGACGAAGTCGATGCCCTTGATATCGAGACCACGCGCAGCCACGTCGGTAGCGACGAGGATGCTGCTGGGGTCAGATGTGGGCGAGGAGAATCGCTCTACTGAACGTAGACGTGCTTTCTGGGCCATAGAGGAGTGGAGTGCCAGAGCGGGAAGGCCGAGGTTCTGGAGCAATTGAGTGAGACGGCGGACGGCGGAGATGGAGTTAGTGAACACAAGTGTCCGGTGCTTGGGGTTATAGAGCAGGAGAGTGTAGAGATAAAGATCCTAGATTTGGTTAGCATATGAATAAGACTCTGCGACGTCTGAACATACCTTCTCCATAGCTCCACATTCGACAATGCCCTCCTTAAGCCCTTCAGCCATCTGCGAGACCGGATTGACGTCAATGAACTTGGGCTTCTCTTCGCGGAACTTCAATTTCTGGAGGAGATACTCCATGGACTCCTTGTTGCTCATGATGTCGCCTCCCGTCCAACGCGCTTTGCCGGCTAGCTTCTGCTGCAAGTCACGGTGGAATGTAGCGGAGAAGACCAACGTCTGCCTCTCAGAACGAGCATCCTCCTTTTCTTCATCTTCGCTTTCTTCACCACCGAAGTTACCCTCCTCAACACGATCGAGAGCGCCAAGGATCTCCTCGGCTTCCTTGAAGTGACCCTCACTGAGAAGTCTGTCCGCCTCATCAATGACAAGGAACTTGATCTCACTCATCTTGCGGATCAAACCCTGACCACTGCTAAGCACTTCCCATACCCGACCAGGGGTACCGATGACGATGTCAGCTCCGGCGAGCACTCGCTGCTGCTTCTGCACGGACAAACCACCTGTGAGGAGTGCAATGCGGGCATTAGAGCCGGGAGCGTGGAGAGCAAGCTCGCCAATATGTTTAGCCAATTGATGCGCCAATTCTCGAGTGGGCGACATAATGAGAGCAATCGGAGCCGTGTCCTTCTTCTTCTCTTCCTTGCCAGTGCGCAAGTCCTGCCGTCTCTTCTCAAGATAGTGCTCGAGGATGGGAATACCGAACGCCAATGTCTTTCCGGAACCTGTCGACGCCTTGCCGATCACATCGTGGCCATCGAGGATCTGGGGAATGCAGGACTTCTGAACGAGGGTTGGTGTAGTGAACTTCATCTTCGACAGACTGGTGAGGATCTCAGGAGACAATCCGAGCGACTCCCAGGCAGAAACATCCACGCCATCGTCATCCTCTTCATCCTGGAGCGCAGCAAAGGAAAGTCCGGGCTTGATGCTCTTATCCTCCTGGTTTGGTGTAGTCTTCTGCTTCGCTTCTTTCTTGGCTTTCTTCTGCTCTGCCTGCCTGTCCTTCTTGGCCTTCTTCTTCTCCTCGGCCGTGGGTTTGTCGGCTTCCTCTCCGTCCTTCTGGTCTTCCTTCGGTGCAGTGTCCTTCTTCTCGGTCGCTTCGTTATCGCTGAAACCAGACCACTCGTCGTCGTCAAACTTCGGTTCTTCTTCCTCGGGTGCCTCCTTCTTCAGGATTGACTTCTTGGGTTTTCCATGTGCGGCCTGGATGATCAATTAGCACTCTCCTATCACCACCAGCCAACGCTGCATACCTTAAATCGGAGTCCCTCAGATCCTCCCTTGATAACCTCCACTCCGTCAATTTCCTCCAATCCAAAGAAACCACCTGCATCCTCAAGCCGATCAGGCAGCGCGACCTCCTTCCAGTTAAGGTCATTGACGGTGACAAGCGCATCTTCGCCGTCCTCCACCGCGGCGACGTCCTTCTTCCTCTTCTTGGCCTGCAAGTCTGCGCTCTTCGAGCCACGCTGTCTCTTCTGACCCATGATTGCAAAATTAAACCCCGACCGAATACACAAAATCCAAGATGCGAGGAGAAACAAACGTGCGCAGCAAAGTCGCAGCCGCCGAAGGGAAAGAAAAAAAAGCGGCAGAAAGCCGCCGCCCGGCACCAGTTAATCTTATCGCCGCCCCACGAGAAAATCCCCCTCAAATCCCTCCTCCAGCAATTCAACACCTCAATTCCCCCCACCACATAACACACCCCACCCACCGCCACAATGGGTAAATCCTCCAAAGACAAGCGGGATGCCTACTACCGCCTAGCCAAAGAGCAAAACTGGCGCGCCCGGTCCGCCTTCAAACTCATCCAAATCGACGAGCAATTCGATCTATTCGAGCACGAGAACCCAGACAAAGTCACCCGAGTCGTCGATCTGTGCGCCGCCCCCGGCAGCTGGAGTCAAGTGCTGAGTCGCGTTCTGATCAAGGGCGAGAGTTTCGGTCGCCGCGCCTGGGTCGAGAAGAAGCGCAAGGAAAAGGAAGCCCTCGATCGGGTCCGCAATGGCGACAACACCACCACAGTCACTTCTTCATCAGAAGACACCGACATGGCCGAACTGAAACCCCGCAAGAACGTCAAAATCGTCTCCATCGACCTCCAACCCATGGCTCCCCTTGAAGGCATCACCACCCTCAAAGCAGACATCACCCATCCCTCCACCATCCCGCTCCTCCTGCGCGCCCTGGACCCTGAAGCCTACGACTCCTCCACCTCTACCACTCCCTCCGCCATTCGTCCCCCTCACCCCGTCGACCTGGTCATTTCCGACGGCGCCCCGGACGTAACAGGCTTGCACGACCTCGACATCTACATCCAATCGCAATTGCTCTACTCGGCGCTCAACCTCGCCCTGGGCGTCCTCCGCCCCGGCGGCAAATTCGTTGCCAAGATCTTCCGCGGCCGCGACGTCGATCTCCTCTACGCGCAACTCCGCACCGTGTTCGAGAAAGTCAGCGTCGCAAAGCCGAGGAGTAGTCGTGCTAGTAGTCTGGAGGCATTTGTCGTGTGCGAAGGGTTCATCCCGCCTTCGATCCATGCTGGTACGGACGCTCTGAAGAACCCTATCTTCGGGGGCGTGGCTGTCCCGCCGGCTGTTTCAGCGGATGGTAATGTCGGGGTGGAGGTTGTCGAGTCTGAGGACGACGAGGCACGCCCTGTTAAGCTGGCTCGGTTTGCTCCGGCCGAGGCGACTCTGGGTGCTGCTTCAGCGGAGTCGAGCCAGACGGAGGCGCGGCTGCTTCACGATGACTCCTTGGCGTCGGTGACGCCTACGCCACTGGCGTATAAGTCCGCCGGTGAGAAGTTCGCTGTTGAGAATAAATGGATTCCTAGGTTCATTGCTTGTGGTGATCTCTCGGCTTGGGATTCCGATGCCTCTTATACGCTCCCGCCGGATCATGTCAGTTTGGATCCGGTGCAGCCGCCTACTGCGCCGCCTTATCGGCGGGCGTTGGAGTTGAGGAAGGAGAAGGGTGGTGCGTATGGGAAGACGAAGTTGGGTAGTTTGGGACGGGCGTGAAGTTAGAATTGATTATTATTATTGCGGCCGTTTTAACGATATCTTCTTGTTTATAGTTATGGTTACGAAAGTTTTCGACTTGGCGGGGTAAAAAGAAGTTGGACGGGCTTAAGACTACTGCTTGGCTGCTAGATGGACAAGGGCGGATGGATATAGCAGATACCCATAGATTTACGATAGATGATGATAACCAAAAGAAGAGGAATAAATTCAGAGAAAATGCAGAAGTCTATTTTGAGCTGGTAGATCAGGTGTGTCTATGCTGGTATGCGCTAAACTCAAAAAGGACGGACAGATCATCACATCACATCATGTACAACGCACGGCGCTAGATCTCCCCACTAGTCTTTTGTCATAACCTTTTTCCAACATCCCCTTAGTACACTTCGAGGACGTATCTCTCCTCATCCTTCAACTTCTCGATCTCCTTGCGAGAGTCGACCTTCTTGCCCAGGTTCTTGGCTTCAGTGGCAATGGCCTCCTCCAGCACAGCGGTGACATCGGGAACGGGCCACGTGGGACCGCACAGGTAGAAAGCACCCTCCTCGCGGATGTAGGCCTGGATGATTTCAGGCAGAGTCTGGCGCATGCGGTCCTGGATGTAAATCTTCTCCGGCTGGTCACGGGAGAAGGCGCGACCCAAGACGGTGATGACACCAGCCTCCTGGTAGGCCTCCCACTCCTCACCGTAGCAGTACTCCTCGCGCTGGTGGCGGGAGCCCATGTACAGCAAGACGGCACCAATCTCCTTGCCCTGGGCCTTCTCGAGAGCACGGTGCTGGACGAAGGCGCGGAAGGGAGCCAGACCGGTACCGAGACCAGCCATGATGAGGGGTTGAGTAGACTTGGGGGGCAGCTTCATCACACTGGACTTGACGCTGACGGTGACCGGAGTACCGGGCTGGAGGCGGCTCAGGTACCGGGTAGCCAGACCGAAACGGTCACGGCCAGTGGGGTCCGACCAGGTAACCGCAACGATCATGAGAGCGACGGTGGTGGGGGTCACCTTCTGGCAAGAAGCGATGGAGTACTCACGACGCTTCAAGGGACCGACAATACGGATCAGTTCGTGGAAGTCAGGCTTGGCCGAGGGGTACTGCAGCAGGATATCCGCGAAGGTAACGGTGTCCACCTCGGAACGGCGCTTGAATTCCACAGCTCCGTCGGGGCCACCAAGGGTAAGAAGATCGGTCTTCTCCTTCTCGTCGTCCGCGAATTCGGCCAGAGCTTCGTAGAAGCGCTTGGGCGGGCGACCGAAGATATCGACGTTCTGGACAAGGGCCTGGTAGACGGTGCGGTTTTCCAGCACGGCAGGATCCTCGCGGCTGGGCACCTCGACAACATCGTCGGCGTTCAAGCCATAGAAGGCAATGAAGTCCATGACATCCTTCGGGTCGTTCTCGGCGTGCACGCCCAGCGCTTCACCAATGTCGTACTTGAGGCCAGAGTCACCCAGGTCGAACTCGATGTGGAAGATGTTACGATCGTAGGTGACAGGGGTAAGACGTCTGTTCTCCTTGACGTGAACAGTGAAGGTCTTGGTGGCCGTCTCAGGACGCAAAGCATTCTTGGTGCCGTAAGCCTCCTTGAAAGCGAGACCCTTGGCAGCGGTCTGCCAGTCCTTGAGGTAAGTGGCAGGCTCGCTCTCTTCCTTGTCGAAGGACACGAAGCTGTTGGGGGAGATGTCCTTGGGGAGCTGAGCGACCTGGGCTCCCTCTTCGGGGGTCTTCCAGGCCTCGGGAACCTCGATCTGGCGGAGAACCTTCTCAAGCTCCTTGCTGACATTCTCCAAGGCCTCAGCATTGCCGCCAATAGAGGCCAGCTTCTTGATGCCCACGCTCTCCTGAGAAGGCAGAGCCACACGCAAGAAAGCAACCTGAAGGACCGAGGACTCAGAGGCGGTCTCACCGGCAACAGAGGGGTCGACGAAGTAAAGGGAGATGCCGCGCTGCGCGACAGCCTGGCGGAAAGCGACGGGCAGTTTCTTCTCGAGCTCATCGTCCTTCACGCCAGGAGCGTTCACAATAACCTTGCCGTTGTCCTTGACAGAGGCGGCAATGTCGACATCGCCAAGCAGCTTAACGTCTCCAACATAAGCAGTGTCGGCAGCGGTGATGGAGTAGGGGGCATCGACAATCTTGGAGCTCTTGCGGATGTCAACACGGACGACACCTCCTTGGACGAGGTTATCGTGGACCTTGTTGGTGGTGACATTGCTTGCCGAATCGGCAGCCAAGGCCTGGGAAAGAGTCGTGGCGACGTCGCCACCAACGGAGTTATCAACATCCCAGAAGGTGTACTCCTGGACGGTGGCGGGGTCAAGCAACTGCAGGGCCTCGGACTCGGCACCAGCCTGAACAATGGGCTTCTCGTGAACCAGCTGGAAAGCAGCAGCGGTGTTGATCAGATCCCAGCGCTGAGAGCGGGCATACTTGATATCAATGCAAGCCGGGGTCTGCTCACGATCGGTAGCGAAAGTCAAAGCAGCAAGAACATCCTCGTACAGGGCAGAGCGGATACCCTGCTCCTGCACAGCCTGTTCGTCAGAGACCTGGCCAAGGACACCAACGGTCTTGACAGACTTGGGCAGAACGCGCAGGAATTCCTCCTCGACGAAAGGACGGTAGACACGGACGTTGATGACACCAACGCGAACGCCGTCCTTAGCCAAAGAGCGGGCAATCTGGGCAGTGAGAGATGCCTCGACGGTACCGAAAGCAACCAGAACGGAGACGGGCTCTGCGTGGCCGTGGTACTCAAAGAGGCCATAGTCGGTTCCGAGCTCGCCGTTCAGGGACTGCAGGAGCTCGAGGAGCTTGCCCTGGGTGTCGAGATGACGGCTGCGGGAGTCTTCAAGGGTCTTGCGGACGGCCTCGTAGGTGCGAGACAGACCAGCCTGGTCGAGGACGTCGATGACACGGGTCTCTTCCCGGCCGACGCGGACACCGTCATAGATGTGGACGGAAGGCAAGACGGAGGACAGAAGGGTGGTGAGCAAAGCCATGTGCTGAGATTCATGGACAGAGGCACTCGACACCAGACCCAGGCCAAGCTCTTCGGCGAGGGAGAGGGCGGAGGCATAGTCGGACACAAGGCCGTCCTCACCGGCATAGTCGACAGCGGCGACATGGGCGGCAACAGGGCTAGCAACGGAGTACAGGAGAGACAGCTGTTCCAGGGCGGCACGCATATAAGGAAGAGTGGCCGACGAAGCGACGATACCCTGAGGGATGTGGCGCTTCTTCAGGTCGAAGTCCTGGGAGAAGATGTAACCAAGGGCGATGTTACCAGCACCCTGGCGAGTCTCCATGGCCTTGATCTCAGGAGAGTCGCCATTGGCGTTGATCTCCTGCTTGGAGGACCATTCCCGAAGAGCAGCATCCAAGTCAAAGGACTCCGGAGAGTAAGAGAAGATCTTGTCGCTCAAGACATAGGCGACTTGCTGGATGAGGGTCTGGGCAGTGACATAAGTCGGACCACCGAGGGTCGACAAGGCTGGAGAAGGGGAGCCCATGGCGGATTCTTGTCTGAAGATGGGGGAATCAGCCAGCCGATACCACCAAGATGAAGACAAGGAAGACAAAGGAAGAGGAATCAGCAGCGCCGGATTGGGAGGGGCGATGGGGGGATAAAAAGCCCGTCGCCTCCGCCGCTCTATAGAAAATCCCAGGGGATCTTACCCAATCCGGCTAGTGGCAATCACGCAATTTCTTATCGATAGATCCTGGAGGCGGGATCCTGTGGCAGAATGTCTCCGCTTTCGGCCTTCCCCGCATTAGTAAGTCACGGTGTCCTGAGGCATCAGCCATCTGGACCCGCCGATAAGTCGTGATTACTCATCCACGATAAGTCGGTGGAAAACGTCATCTCATCCTCCTCGCATGTAGTGATCCCTTTCTGCATCAATCCGTTTCTGTATATGACAACTGCTAGCATGGCCAACGTCGCACTGCTCGGCTGCACCGGCATGGTGGTAAGTCACCCAATTTGTATTCCTTCTAGTCAAACCAAGCCCCCTCAGCATCGCAAACCCGGCCCTCCAATTCGACCATGTAGTCCTCGGCATAGGCAAAAAAGCAAAAGCATCTAATATACTCATCCGCAGGGGAGCCACATCCTCACCCACCTCCTGGGCAATTCCTCCGTGGCACGCATCGATACCATCTCCCGTCGTACCCCGCAACCCGCCACCGCCGCGCCGCAAGAAAAGCTCACCACCTTCGTCTCCGACGACTCCTCCAAGTGGGCTTCGCAGCTCTCCTCTCTGACCCCGACGCCAGACATCTTCATCTCCGCATTTGGCACCACCCGCGGCGCAGCTGGTGGCTTCGAAAACCAATACAAGATCGAACATGGCCTAAATGTTGAGATGGCCCGTGCGGCGCGCGACGCCGGCACCAAGGTCTACGTGCTGATCTCGTCGACTGGAGCTGATAAGAACTCCTCGTTTGGGTATCCCCGCATGAAGGGTGAGATTGAGGAAGAGGTGAAGGCGATGGGATTTGACAGGACGATTATTCTGCGCCCTGGGCTTATCTCCGGGGAGAGGCAGGAGAGCAGGCCTGCTGAGGCGGTTATGCGGGGCTTTGCGGGCCTGGTGGGCAAGATCCATTCCGGGTTGAAGGATGGATGGGCGCAGGATGCGGATGTTATTGCGAAGGCGGCGGTTAATGCGGGAGTGAAGGCTTTGAATGGCGAGGTTCCGGCTGGAAGTGAGAAGGTGTGGGTGATGTATGGGAAGGATATTATTCAGTATGGGAAGGGGCAGTAAAGGCCCGGAGCTTGCTTGATAAGAGTCATTGTACCATGTAGTATTTATATATGCTATCTGCGTTAATTACATGATTTTCGGTTTCACTCTGCTACTATAGTTGAACATCATGGAGACGATGTACGAAACAACTACTCTCTTAGGCCTGCGAATATATATATTTCAAACACAGAAGATCAACGAGATTCTCATTAGATCTAATATCATACGCAACGCAACAAGTGAGCACTTTCATACATGACACAATTTAAACACGGAAATGCAGAGTCTATACAATAGCCCTGGTCTCTTAATACTTCCTATTCCCATCCCTCACCTCTCGATTCTTCTTCGTCCATCCCCTCGAGCTCGGCCCCGCCTTCTCAGCATTATGATCGGGACCTCCCTCCTGCGGCGGCCTCGCATGGCTAGCATCCTTGTTTCCAGGACTCATATCCAAAGGGTTACTCACTTTACCCTGCTGCTCGGACTCCTTCTGCGCCTGCTCGACCTGGCCTTCCGGTGACGTGTTACTGGGATCGAAGGCTGCATCGTGGCCCGCGACTTCGCTATCTGTGCCCGTGTAGGAGCTCTCCGATCGCTGAGGGTCGAGGACATTGCGATCTCCAGATTGGGTTTCGCTCTTTTGCTGATGGGTTGTGCGCAGCGGTGCGATGGAGCGGAAGGTGCGAGTAACGGGTTGAAAGGTCCGGGTTCGGGTGGTGTGTTGGGCCAGGCGGCCAATTGAGGTGAGTTGGTGCAACATGGTGGTGCAGGTAGATAGTATTGTTTTGACTGTGCGGTTTGGGTTGAAATATGCTTTTCAAAGGATGGGTCTAGTTGTGGTAATTTGATGGTTGCGGCGGCTGTATATAGTACTGGAGGTAATGGTTAGCCAGCAATGAGATGGGCTTGGGGGAATTGCATCAAGTATCTTCGCGTACATGTTTAAAAGTCTTTTTGGCTACAGAAGATCTAGGAAGAAGTGATATTGAAGAAGGACATTTGAAGGTTGCGTTGGAATCCCAGAGGGAACTTGGCTGGACTACTATCATCTTGACGTCATCTACTCTGCCAGGGTGCGTCGTGGACACGTGATCTCCGATGTATATCCGGATGTATACCTGCACTCTTCACATTGAAAAGGCTCTGATCTACGGGGGAAGCGAAGATGATGAAAGACTACGTCGACTCAGATGGCCTGGGGAAAGTCCAGACATGCATCTCAATGTTCAAGTCACAAGGAAAGAGTACCGTCAGCCCATCACCTACCACCTGGACAATGTTTCTAGACTAGCGGCGTAATCGCCTTACCTCAAAGACGTGGAGCAAGGCAGAATTCTAGTTTCCCCTTTGATCGTAGGCAGCCTTCCTGGTCGCAGTGGATGCCTTGTGCTTCTCGTCGTGCCGGGAAGAAGTACGGTGCTATACTCATCAGGTGGCCACGATCAGGAAAAGCAAAACGAATAAAGTCTGTCCATCGTAATGATAGACTTGACACGTCAATCATGCTACACGCGGATGCCGCCTCAATTGAGCCCAGACTATCAAAGTGCGATGGCACAGTCTCCGTGCATTTGGCAAGAAACGCCTCACGCAAGACTCCAAGTATGTGATGACCATGATTGAAGCTGCCTCGTGGTTCAGGCTTCTGTGCTGGACGTTAATAGCCCCCAAGGCGGGGATGTTTATGGGCTGGGTCAAGGCCTCGTGCATAAAGATCGTACCCGATTAGGAATCACAGGGAGCTTACGGCGGTCGAGGCGGATCGATGGACAGGAAGAAGAGCAATGGGTCAAAGCCACAACCAGACTTGTGCAACATGAAAGGCTGGATGCCTCAAACTTGAGGCCGCAGAGGAATAATTGCAGGTGCCAACGTGCAGATGCGAGGACCCGCTATGATTCTTCCCTGCTCAAGTCAATCGGACTTGTCTAGTCTAGGCGTTTTGCGGGCTAGACAGCAATGACAGGGGTCCTTTTAGCTGCATATATCTCCCGTCCAGCTGAACCGCTTCATTGGCTACGACCTGCTGACTCCGTCGAATATGCTTTCATCCACTGGCCAATCCAGATCCGTAAGCCGGAAACAGAGGGAAACGCTTCCTTACCTTAAATTTTCGAAAGGTCGTTTGACATATTCCATTTGTTGACTGCAAGAAAAACATGTATGCGTAGATGCGCAGAGGGCTGCGGTCACGTTACAGTCACGGGACTGAAAAATCCCAGTATTTCGGTGCAAGTATGTGGGTCACAAAATCCAATTCCAACGTCGTGGCCAGATCCCTCAAATTCAGAGTAAATAAATTGTAGAGTTTCCAGACAGTTGCAGCCCAAAAAGAAACTCACAATCATCAGGCGTGAATCACAAATCCTGGCTGGCTGGGCAAGGACGATTTACCGGAACTATCGAGCCAAATCCTGGTTACGGAAGTACAATTGCCACAGGCAAGGCTGGACTAGAAACATCCGAAGTAAGACAGCTCGCAAGAGAAGGCAGAGGGGTGGCAAATCGAATCGCGAGTACCGAGCTTGAGCAGCTCGTGAGTGGCAGAACAGTTGGTAACCGGTGTTGCCTCCAGGTTGCGGCTGTAAGCCAGAACCGATAGTCGCTGAGTTGGCAACCGACATCATTCCATGCTCGGATTCTCAGCACACAGGGAATTTAGTCGGGTTGACCGACGATCCAATGCTGTGATGGATGTACAGACGCACGAGAGAGTTTCATGCAATCATCTCGAAGGGTGTCCGGACAAGCGGAAATTCGGGTACATTGACCCCCTATAGGCCAATGCTGGGGAACTGAAGGCTGCCTTGCTCATGTCGCTATGAATTCTGTACACCATCTTCTCTTCGAAAAACCCCCTCTCCATCACGGAAGGCCGAAATTTCGAGCACCTCGACCAGACGAAGCGTGCCACGTCAGTGAGTCTCCGAGCTCTAGTGCAGCTGCACGGGTTCGACAGTAGGTGCACCGTACCACAGGCAGTATCTGCCATGGCTGATGTACAGAACTGGCATCCTATCATATTGGCCGAGGAAGGCAGGCAAATGAAGATAAACCCTGCACCCGAGCGGGGACAAATGCGGGATTATTCGTCTGCAGATGTGGGAGATCAGCTGAAGAGAATCAGTCCCTAAAGGAATATTGAGCTCATCATGCAACTGCATGTCATGTTGACTCCCGAGGTAAAATTCAAAGACGCAATGGATGCCAATGAAGGGCTCCTAGTGACGCGTCTTTTGCCACTAGATGCAGAAATATTTGGTTGATATCAGCCAGACGGAAACATGCGGAGTACACGAGACGGTCATTGGCACGAAGGCCAAATTCCTGTGTGGACCAATGTTCGGAATACATGGTAGGAGGAACTTGGTAGGGTTGCAACCAGGTGACAGAACCCTGAACCTTTGGGCATACTAGGTGTCAGGTAAAGAGTTGAGGGGGAGAAAGTAAAAAAAGAAAAGTAAAGACCAACTGGGCAGATGTCTCGGAGTCACCCTGCCCTCGGCCCAAAGTCCGTATCAAAGGTTATGGCACTAGGCCAGTTCGCGAGCAGACTAATTGGTTGTGAGTGAATAGCCACAAGGTTATGGTGGTAAGGCATCTAACAAACCAGACTAAATGATCAAAGCCGTAACCACACTGGACCTGCAAAGCCGAACTGTGCTTTTTCCATCCACTCAAACCGGAACACTAGGTTTTTTTTTTTCCTTGGACGCGGAAGGGGGCAAAAAAGGTTTGGACGGTGAGACGGACGGCCTGACAGCTGGCACAGAATAAAGAAACGGTTTATTTTTTTTTTTTCATGCAGGAGCTTTGATTCAGTAAGAGTGAGGCCTGTCTTCTTCTCGAAGAACGACTTCATACGCAACGGAGACGCAGAAAGGAAGCGGGGATGATCGTTGGAACGACCAAGGCTGCAATGGCAATCCCAGCCAGGACGACGAAAACCGTCCATATCAAATGAGGGATTTTCCAGGACTCTACCTGATTCAGGAGAAATGATACCGCCACGACAGCAACACGCATGCATCCGTGAAGCATCCACTGACCACAACTGACCCGATTAGGAAGGTTGTGGATAATTTGTGTCTCCACAGCTGGAAGACCCCAGCATAGCCAACCGGGAAAGCACTGGATGTGATGTGAAAGTGATAGCAGAATGCCGTAGTCGATAAGCCATCGTATGTTGAGGGGTTGATCGACGGTTGACTGGTAGAGTACGAGAACTGGCTGGGCCGTAACATAGAAGCTTCCTGCGAAACATAAATAGGACCCGGGGCCTACCAGTCGATTGAATCTGGATCATTATCCGTTTCAGACTCAGCTTCTTCAAGAGCCATCGCGAGATCTCAATCGTTGTTCTTCAGAATAAGGTGTTTCGTTTTAAAACAACCGTCAACCTTCCATAGGCCTCGTGCAAGCTTAGCCTATCAAACCTCTGCAGCGCGGCAGGAGCATTTGGCAGAGCCAATAGAAGTTAAGGTAGCAACGTGAAACAAGAAACTGTATCAGCAACAAGTGAGTTTGACCACGGCTTGATCAGTATTTTAGCTGACGATAGAATGATAGGGATGTGCTTCTACAACCAGAAGAGATTTAAATGCGGAGACTGGAGCTGGACAAGTTTCGCTCACCGCTGCAATTATGAGTACCGCACCGGGGAGACCTGCGGCATGAGGCTCGTCAACATGACTGAGTTTGAAACAACACTATGCCGCTTGTGCGAGAAGATCGAAACCAAGTACCGGCGGCGAAGCGCCGAGTTGGAACGCTTGAACCGATGGAAACGGGAGGGAAGCACTCTCGTAGCATCCATGGACCGGTCACAGAAACTCGTCATGGAGCTCGAAAAAGAAATTCGCCAACTGCAGCGGGAGCGTGATGACAGAAGAAAGGCGCTTTCATGAAAGCAGGATTGAAACTTTTTCAGGAGCCATGCGTTGGGCCACTTGCTGTTGCTTTTGTTTGTGCTTAGGATTCCCTCTTTGGTATTGTCTTTCGGTTTCAGATCATGTTCCTGTTTGTAAATTCTGTGCCTCACAGGGGCTGTGTCACTTGACACCTTTCATTTCATCAATTATTCTTTTTTTTTTTTCTATTTTCCTTTTGTTTCGATGATCGAATCGAGGTTGATTCTTCACGCCGGGCCCATGCAATGGTTGGCGGAAAAGTGTGAATCAAGGATTCTGCTGTCGAGAAATCATAACATCCAATGAAAAGGTTTCATTTGTGCAAGTCTGGCAACTTCGTGCAGCGTTCACGAGGAGGTGTTCCACATCATAAGCGCCCATGTTCTTGACGAGCGGCTCGCCAGACCAAGGTAACAAAACCCCCAGGGCAATTGGCACAGCAGTAGGGGCCATTGTGAGAAGAGGGGTTAATGGCGGAAATCCAGCAGCCTAAAGACCACACCATGTAGGCCAACTGTACGAAATGATTCATTTTACCATGGTTGTACCATGATTGTCGATGACAGAGGCCGGCGACATTGGGAAAGGAGATACGGAGCTGGACATGGAGATGGTACCCCGCGTTTGGGCGGTCCACCGCACGTGATGCCCTCCTCTCCACATCAAAGCTACTGAGTTAGTGACGGCCCTCTGCGGCCTTTAGTCTTCTCATTAGAATCCGAAAAGAAAGCTAACACTGATATGTCAAAATTTGCAATCTGCTGGGCCTGACTCATCTTTGAGTGATCCTGAGGGTATGCATAGAAACTCCCTCAATAACCCCGCGCCTGCGATGCTTCCATGACACGGCCGTCAAATTCGCAAGACCGGACAGGTTGACATCGAAACACATTCACAGCCGGTGCATTCGCTTAGCTATGATGTGGTTGTGTTGCAAACAAGATACCAGCTTGGGTCCTGGGGATTCTTCTATATATGGGGCCTTACAATCTCATTAAAGTTCCGAAACATTCAGCATTTGTTCAAGCGCCCAGGGTGCTCGTGGCCTTGA